CTTGTTATTAATGAAAATACTAAATTTAAATGTTACATGCTAAATGTTATATACTAAATACTAAATGAAGTCAGTCTTGAGATTAGACCTTCATAGTTCTTAGTAGGAACCTTATCTGAAACCAGTAACTCTTTCAGCACAAGTAATTGTAATCTTTCCTTTATTTCTTTCCGCATTTCTTTAATTATTTTGTATCTATCTCGTTTTCCTCTCATAAATATTAATTTCTCATCATACCAGATACTTAATTGCAATCCTAAAAATAAATAATTATTTTTCATAACACATATTTCATAACATATTTTTCATAACATATGCTATCCAACACTATGATATAGCATGAGATGACTTAATCATCTTTGTGTGTTGCATATGGTATTTATCTCATGGTCAAAGCATGGTAGTAGGTATCAGGAAATTTTGACTGTTAAAGGTGAGCTGTGGTGACTCTTTTAGTAAACACGGAGTTATACAATGCAGATGTCTAAATCGGGGTGAGTCACCTTAAGGGTCCCATAACACTTGATGGGGAGAAACAGACACTTTTAGAGCATGATTCCTTTCCTTATAAATAAATGTATAAAATAGATTAAGTGAGCCACATCTTAAAAATTCTCATTTCTTCCCCTGAATATGAAGGAGAGTTGCAATAACTCACTCATATACGGAAATGTAAAGCAAAGGGGAATAAATTGTAACCTTAATATGTTTGCCCCCATCTGTGACATAACCAAAAGCATAGACACAATGACTGAACATTCCTGAGTCTTTATTCATTAATATTTATAAAGTACTTTGAGGTCCTGGGATCAAAGCAGTAAAAAGAGGCAATCAGCAATACACGGCCAATCCACTCAAGTGTCAAAGTCCCATTTTATATAGCATTGTGTGTCTAGGTAGACCTTCCTTAAAAAAACTTAAGAATTAATTGAAAGCATTATCTGATCACAGACACTAGGTGTTCATGTTCTAGTACATGAGAACAACGTAAGTTGCTTTCAGCGTGATGTCTTCCTTCTTTTGAGCTTGCAGAAATATCAGAAACATTACCCTTCACAAGTCCTCCATATGCTGCATGTTGCAAGACTTGACTGCAAACCAGGCCAGCCTCGCAAAGGGTGATTGTAGCACAGCCCTTTCTGTCTTCATGCACACCAGTCCCCTGGTGTTAGTGCTCCATTGCAACACAGCGCAAGTCTTCAGTACCTCTGCTGTCATGGCAGCCAATTCAGCAGCAAAGGCTGATTCCTTTTAACTATGTGAATCTTCCTGGTGATAAACTGAGGAACTGCTGAACCTGAACCACTCATCCCTTCTTAAAAAAAACAAACAAACAAACAAAAAACCAGCCCACCACCACCAATCCTATATATACAACACCCCAACCAGGTCTATTATCAGCCAGACACTTCCTAGCATGTGTTTTTTGTTTGTTTGTTTGTTTGTTTGTTTTATAATCATTGGACATACTTGGAGAGTTTAAGGGGGTTCATGGTTACAGATTTCTTGTGTCTGTATTTGGGATAGTTCCAATGAAAATATAGTGACTATGGTGACTATGCAAAATGTTTATTTATTTTCTGAAAGAATTGTACACCTGGCATTTGGGTTTGTCTGATCACACTGCAGAGGAGGAAAAAGAGCTGTATAAATCCACTCATCCAGCCAACACACACAAGCATTTTATTATTATTTATTTTTTAGGTTTTCTTCTTTTAAAATCTGAGCTGGTTTTACACACACACACGTACACACACACATTTCCTAGCACATTTTTTTTATAATTTAGGTTATTTTTGTGTTATATACTCTTTCTGGTGTTCCCATGGATTCGTTAGGATGAATAATTTCTGTCAATAATGAACACAGGAACCCAGTACATGAATACTTGACGAGATGAATATATGCATAGGTTATACATATCAATTTGTGGTGAATGCATGAAACAAATGCACAAGAAACTGATTTAACTAGCACGAAACACAGATGAAATAGATGGCATATAAATGTAATTATATTACTTTCAGGCAAATAAGATGGTGTAGATAGGAGGCTGATGGGTATGTGGATTCTGTAATGAACATCAGGGCAGTGGAGAGGCCCTTTGCAAAGACAATGCATCATTTTATGTCTTTAAAAAGCCACAGTCACACAAAAAGCCAATAAACAAGCCCTGTTAATAGGTAGAAAAATGAATGTATTCTGTGTGGGTTAAGAAGCTAGAATGGGTATAAAAATGAATGTTTATGCATGTAAAGAAAGATGATGAGTAGTATATGGGAATGCTAAACTTATTGAACTGGGTAAATGTGTGCTATCACTTTCAGAGGGTTTTGAATCTGACCTTAACTGATTAACTGATATACAGAATCAGAATGTTGGTGGTAGTATTTATTTGCATTTCTGATCATAATAAGAACACTTATTTAAAGTCATCATATTTTGAAAAAGTCTAAACCATTGAAAAACTCTTTTTAATAACTCAACTATATATAATTTTTTAAGAATCTTAAAAACAGTATTTTTTGATGCTCAGACCCTTTTGATACTAGATACTAATGGCATATGATAGTGCTCTCAGTGCTGAAAAGCCTCTACGGACCTGGTCACCAGAACTGTGTGTGTATAGAACCTAGTCCTCCAGGTGATTAGTTTTAATGTCTCCTCTCTTTTATAGTTATAAAATATCTTCAGTTCCTGGTAAAAAATGTGCAACTCTTCATCTACTTGAACATGTATTTCACACCCCACCAACATTGTACTCACAACTCTTGCCAAGCACTGCCCTAAGCTTACTATTCAGACATCTCTTCCTTGGTACCAATTCAGCCTCTCACAATATTTAGGGCTTCCTAGAGAGTTCCCTTAAAATACTCTCTCTCTCTCCCTCTCTCAATAAAAAACAAACAAACAAACAAACAACAAGAACAAAAAAAAAAAAAACGTGATTTTGCCCATCATGCCCCCCCTGTTCCCTGTTCTTGGATGCCAGGGCACAGACAACCGGCTTTATTTGGAACTTCCTACAGGACTTTTCATGAGCAACCCCACTCTTCTCCCAGAGACCCCCCTGACCTTTTTCTTCACCCTGCTCTTTGTTTTTCCTTATATAAAAAGTCATTCATTGTTCCATTTTTCCCCAGTGAGGACACATAAAGCATGTGATATCCTACCAGGTTACCTATAATGGGCCTGTGAACCCTTTTGTTGCCACAGTTATGGTCCATGCCATACAGCATAAAAGTAAACACTCTGAGTACTCAAGAGTTAAAATTTACCTTGGCTGTTTCAATAAAATGCAATTTAATACAGCAAGGAACACATTTCATATCTAATGTTGACATTGAAGGATCTTGTATTGCTTTTTTACCAATAGAAATGACAGTGATTCATCAGCTTTTATTCCATTTTATATTGCTCTGGTACTCTATCAGACAGTGAAATGCTCTAATTTTTGGCAAACTTTACCCACAGAGTTCTTTTCCTTGCTGCTTTTCACATCAAAAATATTTCTTGTAGAAGGCACTCACATTTCTGTTATATCCTGGTGCTCCAACCTTATAGCTTCCCTGTCCCCCTGGAATTCACACAGCTCAGTATTTCCTAACACTTCTTTTTCAAAAGAAGCATACACAAACATGTGAGTTCTTCCAGATTTCTTGACAGTTTTTCATGTCTTTCCACCCTCTGTTTTATTTTTAGAGTTTCAGCACAAATCACTAGCTTTATATGCTGTCCAATTTGTATTGCCATACACTCAGATAGAGCATTTTCTGAGATGAAACTGTATAAATATTAATAGTTGCTCTTTTAATATAACCTTGGTTTTAGAATACTGAGACAGCATTTTAGGAATCAATGCAATGAATTTGCTTTTGCATGTGATCCATGTACTTTTAAACAAGGGGACAAGAAGTGCTTAGATCTAAGTTCTGTATTGAGGTTCAACATCAGAAGTGGTTCCAGAACTGAGATTGAACTGGATTGTGGAGTTGAGGTTTGGACTGAAATTAAATGGAAAGTAATCTCACAGAGACAGTTGGCATGAAGCTTTTCCTTTGTGTTGAGGGGAGTCTTAGCTACTTCATACTGCATTCAGCTAGGATGTCAAAGAAAACATCCAGAAAGAGGAAAAAATAAATACAGTTTAACGTACTTAAACCAAAACAGGTTACTTTGTGCTAGGCTGTAGTTAGGGTGAGTTTCACTTTGCAAATTTGACTCATCATACTTTCATGTCTGCATGTATTTGGAAGAGTTTGAGATCTGGAACCCATTTAGATGGGTTCACATTTATTCAGGTTGAATAGTGAAGTAGACAATATTTATACAAAAAGCTCTAACAAAATGCTCCTTTTGCAAATTGGGATACGTATCCATGCCTTAGTAGAAACAGAGACAAGTAAAAGGATTATTCAGAAAAACAAGAAATATGAGAGGTGTACCAGTAGGAAAAGAGCCTGTCCTCCCACCTGACGTGGTCTGGATGGCCAGCACTGGCAATAAGTATGAACAAATGTTTAGCAATCACAATAGTAAAAATAACTAAGTGTAGTGGGTTTACGTGGCAAGGTTTTGGTAGCAGGGGGCCATAGGGTTGGTTTCTGTGAGAAAGATCTAGAAGCTGCCCCATGTTTGGGAAGGGCCCCACTGTTTTCCAGAGCTGAGCCAATAAGCAATGTTGTTTTGTGCCTCTGTGAGAGCATATTTAAGACAGGAAAAAAACTGCTGCGCCACACAGCAGCTGGGAGGGAGAGAACAGTGAGAAATGGCCTTGCAGGCACCAAGGTCAGTGCAGAAGGAGGGGGAGAGGTGCTCCAGGCGCCGGAGCAGAAGTCCCCTGCGGCCTGTGGTGAGGACCATGGTGAAGCAGGATGCCCCCCTGCAGCCCATGGAGTACCACGGTGGAGCAGGGTTCCACACTGCAGCCCGTGGAGGAGACCACGGTGGAGCAGGTGGCCCTGCACCGATGGAGGCTGCCGCCTGTGGAAGACCCCTGCCGGAGCAGATTCCGGGCCGGACCTGTAGCCCATGGAGAGGAGACCACGCAGGAGCAGGTGATCTGGCAGGAGCTGCTGCCCGTAGGGGAGCCAGGTTGGAGCAGTTTTCTCCTGAGGGATGGACCCCGTGGTACGGACCCATATCTGGAGCAGTTCTGGAAGAGCTGCTGCCTGTGGGAAGCCCACGCCGGATCAGTTCGTCAAGGACTGCATCCCGTGGGTGGGACCCCACAGCACAGGGGACGAGAGTGACCGAGAAGGAGCGGCAGAGAAGAAGTGCTGTAGACTGACCATAACCCCCATTCCCCCGTTCCCCTGTGCCGCTCGGGGGGAGGAGGTGGAAAAGGGTGGATGGGGGGGAAGGTGCTTTTGGTTTCTTTCCTTTGTTTCTCACTTCTCTAGCTTGTTAGTAATGAGCAATACATCTTACTATCTTCTTATGCTGAGTCTGTTTTGACCGTTACAATAATTATTGCATGATTTTCTAGTCCTTATCTCAACCCTTAAGCCCTTTTCACGTATTTTCTCCCCATTCTTCTTTGAGGAGGGGGAGTGAGAGAGCAGCTCTGGTGGAGCTCGGCTGCCCACTCAAGCGGAACCACGACACTAAGGCACTGTTGTCTACTGAAAATGACTAAGTATTTATAAAAGATGTATAAAGCAATAAAATGGAATCTTACTTTTCTAAGGAGTATTAATTTTCTCAGATGAAGATGACGCAGTATTTCTGTGAGCTAGGAGACAGCTGTACAAGATAGATAGTAAGATTTAAAATTTAAGATTTTTTCCTTTTCCTGGCCATTTCTTCTCCTCACTACAAACCTAACACTTAAAAAAAAAAAAAAAAAAAAAAAGGAGAGAGAGAAGAGAGAGAGAGAGACACCAACTCTGGGAAGATACTCAATCTGGAATTTCTTCACTTCATGCACTTCATGATTTTTCTAGTAGTCAAGCTGTAATGCACTTATAAAGTAGTGTATAATTTCCTCAATATACTTTACTCTGGAAAAAAAAAAAAAAAAAGTATTGTGGAAAGAGAAAAAGAAAAGGGCAAAGTACAATCTTACTATGAGCCAGAAGAAGTGCTATTAAAGATGACAATGCAAGCAATTTAAAGGCACAGTGAATGGATGGAGGCTAAAAAATACCTTAGGATTATGCTGGAAAACAACATGTGCATGAAAATTTCAGAAAAGCACTCAATATGAGACAAAAATAAATAAATAAATAAATAAAAAAGAATCTAGACTCCTTTTTATGTTTGAAATACCATAGAAAAAGTCATAAGCTTAGGGTGGATTCTTTATGTTTTGCCAAAGGTTTGGCTGGAAATGATTCTGCTGTCATAAAATCCATTTATGACAGTATTAAACTAAGTATATCACTCTAAAAATGCTGTCTATTCTAGGCCAAATAAAGGCAGCAGGGAAACCTGAAACTCAGCTTAAAATTGTGGTGGGGGAGACATCTTAGTAAGAACATGGTCACAATCACATCACCATATCACCCAGGACCATGGACTGGTGTTGACAAGAGGTAGTGGGTCATTAGGAAACTAGACTCAATAGCTGCCTGGGAATGTGCAGAAAGAATTTAGGCACAACTTCTGAGCTTCATTTTGGGCAGTGGGAACAGGAATAGTTGTGGGTCAGTGTGTCTGCTGCTGTACTGTGACAACTGCAGCTCTAGGTATTGGTAGTAAATGAGCGTTCAGAGGGCTTTTCACAAAGCATTTACCCCTCAGTATCCATGTGTTTTATGGGCTTGCAAGTTAAGGAGGAAATAAAAGTGCTTGTAGGGGGAAATACTTTTAATATATCATAGTAATTTTTTACTTGTGACTTTTGTGTTAACATAATTTGTAGCTCTTTCATGTTCTCCTTTCATTCTCTTTTCCTTGATTCTTGTTGTGCAAACACTGAGATTTCCTGATAGAAAGAGAATTTAAACAGCCCACTAAGATCAACTGCATTCGTGCTACCAGATTTTCTTGGACAATTAAACTCAAGAGACTGTCACGTGAGCACGGATCAAGTAGCTTTCTGACATGCACACAGATTGACACTGGGGAAGGTGAGGACATGAGCCAGCTGCCCTAACATGAAAGGGCAGTATGATTTTCCACCATGGGGTCATCACCCCACTTGAACTATGTGACGGCACTCTCTGAAACCAGCCTGGGCAAGCCAGTTCCTTTGCGTTCACATTCCTAGACTGGTTTATAATAAAACAATAATAAGAAGAATAATAAAATACAACACTGATCTCTTTCAGGAACAGTTATTTTGCTAGTGAAGGACAAAATTGCTAATTCTAATGGCCAGCCCTCTAGAGTCTTTGTTCCTTGACTATGCCTATCTATATCAGGACATATATAATACTAATATATTGCATGAAAGCAAATAGTATTGTACAGAGAAAATGGGAGAAGCTGGGAGAAGGCAGAGGGTAGCAAGGGCTGAGAATAGTCAGGTCTGTGACTACCTCTTGCAAGGATAAGGAGGGAAGGAGAAGAAACTGGCAACTTAGAGAGAATCTAACACTTCATCTGAGAAGATGTAAATGCCATAGTCTGAGCTGTGCTGGTCTGCCAGGTCACTGTGTTGCCTCTGAGTGCAGTACAGAAGTAAAGAGGATCACAAAAGGAAAAAGGTTAGATGTGGTCAATGAGAAAATGGAAGAAAGCTGAGGAAATAATCACAGAGCCTAGCAAAATGCCAGTAAAGGCATTAGGGTTGGAATATCAGCTAACTAGGAATAGCTATAAAAATAACAGGGAAAAATTCTGCTTTCTAAATGGAGGCAACTCTGAAGTTGCAAAATTCCACTGCGATCTGTTCCCATAACCAAGGACCTGAGCTCACACTCCAGGTATTTTCGGCTACTGAGCATATTTCTGCTAGTCTAAGGTTTCTGTTTGTTTGCTCAATTGTTTCTTTCCATTCCATTGATGCCACCTTTCTGTTAATTGATAGAATAAATCTAAGCAATTTACAACTAGAAACTGCCTGTATTTACCATGTGATTTCTTGTTGGCACAAGATGGTTCTTCAGGAGGAACAGTTACAATTAGTCATATAACATGTTTTTTTTTTTCAGCAAGCTCAGCACAAACAGAATTCTAGGCAGGGTACAGAGATGAAGACAGACAACAAGTTTACTTGATTCATTGTGAAATTCCTCATTTTCCCTTCTTGAACCCCAGTATTGCACTAGAAAGGAAGAAGAGAAGAGGTACTAGACTGGGCAGGACCTATGGTCCATCCAGCCCAGTGTTCGGAAATGGTCATCAGAGATGTAATGCACAACCCCAGCCATTTCAGGGCAGTCCATTTCCCTCACACTGCCACAGCCTCTGCAGTTGCTTGATTAAGGATGTCAGAAGGTAATTTCCTCTCTAGTTCTTTTGGTATCTACTTATCGACCTGCTGCCCATGAATTTGTCTCCTCCTTTTTCCAGACTGATGGCACTGCTTGCCTTCATGTCACTCCCCTATGGGAGCAAGGTACAGGGCTTCACTATGCACGTGGTAAAGGAAAGTTTCTTTTAAACAAGTCTCCCTCTTTCATCAAGTTCAAGGATGTGGCAAATAACAGCTCTGCATTCAGCTTAGCTAGCACCCTCGTTATTCTCTCACACATTCTTTTTCTGCTTCAAGATTTTCTATCTGCAAAAGGAAGAGTCCCAACATTTGTAGTCACTGCATGAAAGAAAATCACTTCATCCCCCCCGATCCTTTTAACTTCTCCTCTCCCATACCACCTCAGCTCCACTAAGTCCTGCCTTAGATTCACAGCTAGGACTGCACACAGCGCTGGAAGCATAGCACATCCCAGCTATGGTAGCTGGTAGCAAAATAATTCTGTCTTGTTCCCAGTGATGATATCTTGATAATGCTTTGTCCTCCTGATGGCCAAAACCATCCCATTTATATTTGCCACTGCACCTTGAGACACGGATTTTTAAAACCATCCAGTAATGACTCCAAGGTCCCTTTCTGGTGGTTTTAGCTGGCATTTACAGCTCATGCTACAGCAATGTACAAACATGGTTTATTTTACTGTTCTCTAGATGTATTATCTCTTCTGTATTGATATTGAGGCTCGACTACACAATTTTTGGAGATTTCATTGCCTCTCCCAGATCATTGCTGAAGGTATTGAACACTGACATGGGTGCTCAGTGGACAGAACTGGAGGCAGTCATGGGCCTGAGGTTCCGGAACTCTCCAGATGGGAGTCATCCTGGTCTGTGTTCCCCCGTTTGGTGGCCACACTGTCCTGTTAACTCCCTTGTCTTCTTCCTTCCTTAGATGCTTTTGGCTAACTCTCTGCTATATTCTTCATATTCCTTTCAGACCTTCTGTTTTTTAGTTGTTTCTGCTGTTGTTGTCTTTTTTTTTTTTTTTTTTTTCCAACATTCTATATATATGGACTTTCTTATTCTCTCTTTGAGGGCCAGATTTCCATTTTTTTAGAAAGCTTTGCTATGCGATAGCCTGCATAACTTACCAATTAAGCCTTGAAAGGATTTTTTGACTGCTTTGTTTTCTTTTTGTAATAGTGACACACATCATTTTACCTGGCTCCTAGCACTCTATTTTTCAATGGCCTCCAGGTCGTTCCTATGTTTCTTTGATTTTGGGCAGCTGTTTTTACAGGTTTTATTCTATGTTTGTTCGTTTGTTCATTTTTTACAAATTACCTAATTTTTACAATGTTCCCTGTCTCAAGATTAGAATAGAATAGAATAGAATAGAATAGAATAGAATAGAATAGAATAGAATAGAATAGAATAGAATAGAATAGAATAGAATAGAATAGAATAGAATAGAAATTGAGTACTATGGTTACAATCAAAGAGGCTCTAACTGAAGAGGGTCCTTTGTATCACTCCAGATTATACCCAAAATAACCTCTTTTCTTGTGGTTTCTGAGAATAGCTGTTCCAGGAAGTAACTATTTTCTCTAGAAAAATTATCTCTCACATTATTTTTAGTACTGATACATACAACTACTTATAATTTTTATTCTGTTGTTTAACAATGCCCAGGCAAAACAAATGGCTTTGTAGGTGGCTTAATATGCCTTCCTCATTTATTGCAGTTGTGATTTTATTTCCCTCTTGGCCTTTCCAGAGATGCATTGGACATTAGCCACACCCAGCTTGTATACTGCATTAGTCCAGGTGCTCTTCCATACCTATGAGATTTCTCTTTCTTCTAGTTTGGACAAGAATGTACATAAGTATTAGTTTTCAGTGACATCTACATTCTGCCTTTGTTACCAGTAGGCCAGGTACAATGCATCCACAAGAATTTATCTGAGCATTTATTAGTTGAATCTCTACTGTCATTATACACTTCTTCACTTGTCTGCCACAGGAACAAGCATAGTGCAAGACAAACAGGTAGTGTGGTGGGGCTCATCTCTGCAGATAGATCCCTCCTCATGCCTGGATGGATGGCAGCCCAGCAGACTCCCTCTTGTCCCCAGCACAGGACCACCATCATATGAATGCAAGACAAACTCTTCTTGACTTTTCTGACCTTCTAGGAGTGAAATCTCATTCTCTTTTTTCTTATTCCTTCCTTTCATGTTTCTGAGAAAAACTGCTGCTGTCCTGTCTCCCGCTGGCAGCAAGGTGCCATTTCTTTAAGAGCCCCTAGCAGTTGCAGACTGTATATAGCACTGCCACCTGGTGAATCCACTCTGGAAAATATTGCTCTCATGCTAGAAATCATTGCAGATATGGGCATAGATACAGGCTCATTGACTAGAGGAAGAAAAGGCTGATTAAAATACAAAGAGATGGAAAAGTGTAAGATTTTCTGCTGTGCTTTGGTGATGTCCATTGGCTTGCTTGGCTTTTCCAATGAGTTTAAACAGCAGTTCTAACCTAAGTGCTAATAACAGGTATTACTCAATCATGAATATATTTTTTTCTCATCTCATTCAAGTAGCTGGAAATGGTTCAAGCACAAGAGACTCAAGTTTTTGAAAAAGAGATAAGAAGTAGTAGATGCTCTTATATTTTCCTAGGGGAGTAGCGGGCAATGTAAGATTTTCTTAACTGTGAACATATGTGACCATATCAGGTGACGAGGACCATTCCTTTAGTGAATCCACACTATTGTTTCCACCAGCTCCATACCAAGATGATTCCACAGTAACTTCAGGAGACTTTTTTTTTTTTTTTTTTTAATGAATATAAGCAGAAATATACTTATTGTAGAGCAGACCCAGTAAGACTGTTTAATCTTGTTGCTGACTTTCCTGACTATTTCTGTCTGCAAAATCTAGGCCTAGACCAGCTCAGGATTTACATCCACTTTTTACTTGAATGTATTTGCAGTGCATTAAAACCAGTATCAGCTTTGAATGGCATTCAATAAGCCCCTTATCTAAGAGACTGTCATATTCCTTTGTACTCTTCTGTTCTTTGTACCTTCCCATCTGTTCCCAGTATGTTAGATAAAAAGTCCTAATTCAGTAATGGCTGAAAATAGGTAAGAGCATACCAGTAATTTTTATCCATTGCTTAACAGAATTCTGAGAAGGGGTATCTTTGTTCTCTGTGACCACATGATGAGTGAAAAATTAAAAAATGAGTTTTTTGAAGTGGCATTAACTATAATTTCTGCAAATTCATATGCCAATATTTTATTGTCTGTGACTGTTTCTGAAATGTGCATTTATCAGAAAAGAATACTCCATATACAAGAAAAAACACAGTATTCTAGGGAAAAAAAAATCCCCACTGTAAACATTAAGAAATGACAAATACTCTTAGGACATATTTATATATCCAAAACAATATAAATTATTAAAAGGAAAGGGAAAAAAAAATCTAAAAATAACACAGAACATTTAATAGATTTGTTTAAGAGTCATAAACAAATAACCCATGAATACTTTAAAAGAGTTAGCATTTCAGGAAGCAGACACCCAGAAGATTTTATTAAAGATTCAAACATTTATGAAGTGTGTTCTGGAGGTTAAGGCAGGGGACTGGCAGTCAAGAGCATTGCCACATTTCCCCACTCTGCTGCATGCCTTCTGTCGAGTCAGCCAACCATCATGTGCCTGGCTCTACTTGTCTGTGGTGAGGACCAGGGTGGTTTTTCTCTGGCAGAGTTGTGTGTTTGGGGTGTGTTGAGGAACAGGTACTGCTCTCAGGCTGAGGAGAGGTTAACTACCATTCCTACATACACACACAGACACACACAGAATTTCTAGGTTGGAAGAGACCTCAAGATCATCGAGTCCAACCTCTAACCTAACACTAACAGTCCCCACTAAACCATATGCCTAAGCTCTACATCTAAACGTCTTTTAAAGACTTCCAGGGATGGTGACTCAACCACCTCCCTGGGCAGCCTGTTCCAGTGTCTAACAACCCTTTCAGTAAAGAAGTTCTTCCTAACATCTAACCTAAAACAACCTCACTCACTTCTTCCACAAGGGGCAAGTGCATCTTGTATTATAATTTTGTGAGCTGCTGAAGCCAGGCCATAAGTTTTGGATCCTTTTGTCCCTCCAAGACAAAGATCTGGGAAATAACCATCCCTGAACTTATCAGAGAGACCCTATCATAAAGTTCTGGCAAAGTAGCAACTGAAGGAGCCTAGTAGAAGTAGGATTTGGATTCTTTTCTATAAGAACAAGGAATAAGAAATTGAAAGCATAATACCAAAAAAAAAAAAAAAAAAGCCCAGGGAAACTGTGTTTTGTGGAGAAGACTAATACTCTGAAATCCTCATAATGTAAACTTTAAGCCATTTCCATAAATCCTTCTTTCAAAAACTTTACTCCTTGCTTCTCTACAAATGATCCTGTTTACACTATAGCCCTCATGAAAAGCTTGGTCTCATGAGCTGCAGCTGACATGTGAATAGGACACCAACACCAGGGAGACTGAAATAAGCCCGAAAATGGGAGAGAAAACCATCCTTGGCACCAGGGCTTCAGAGTAGCCAATCATTGCCTGCGGTAAAAGAAATACCTCTGAGAAAGCTGTCAGGCAGTCTGCATCTTCTTTCCTTCTTGCTGGGACAACTGACAATAGCACAGGCAAGCAGCTCATATTATGCTACTGACAATATTATAAGTGGGGAATGGGAGGGATATCGAGATCTTTCTGTATTGCACAAAAAAAGTACCACTGGCAAGTTCTTCAGTTCCTCTTCAAATAAAAATACATACTTCAAGTAACCTTAAACTGGGTAAAGGAAGGATTTTATTCTTTTGTTAAGGTTAAATTGATGTATCGCAATAAAAATAAAGACAATCTTAAAGAACAGCAAGGACAACTAAAATGTTTCAGTATAAAATATTTAAGCCTAGGTATTGTTCACAAAACCTCTGATAACCTTTAGGCATCTGAACTTCCTTAGTGTCCAAGTTTGTGTCTACAAAATTCCAGAGGTATCAATTTCTCTGCTGTTGTATGTGTCTATCAAAATCAATGACATAGCCTAGGTTTGCGTCTAATTAGTACCACAGGCTATCAGGAGTCACTCATCCTGTCATTTCTTGTCTTTGTTCTAAGGTGTGGTGGAAAAGACTCTAATTGTCCAAAGCAGAAGAGCCCCTCGCTACTCTGTCCCAAATGAGGGTGATGAGAATCCAGGTAAGAGTGCCCAGTCTTCAATGAGTTCAGAGGTGTTGAAGGACCCCCAGCAGGGCACTGTCTGAACAGGTGAGCATTCACTGAGCAGGTATATCTGCAAAGCTGGGTCAGATGTAGAATCTGTCTACAGCTAAATTTCTAGTGCAAACAACTGGTTTATTTTGTGGTGACATCTCTGAGTCTTGGCACCCCAGCAGTGCATTCTCTTCAAAGATGTAAATTAGTAACCTTGAAGAGTTTACAGTTCAAATGTGGGAGCAGCACTGATGGGTGAATATGGAAAGGAATCAAGAGTGGGCTAGTGACCCTGAAAGATAACAATGGCACAACAGTGAAAACCTTGGTTAGTAATTGTCACAGCACACTTACTGCTTGGCCACTAGCTCCATGTGTTATGTGAATGTATCTGTGAAATACATCTGCTTTTGTAATTGGACAGGGACTGGTGAGTGTAAGACTATCTTAATGTGGCTACTCCATAGACAACCACTACTTGGATGCATTAGGAAAGGATGCATTAGGAATATTAGGTCTCTTATGAGTTGCACAGTCATTTGTACTTAGAGGTTACAAAAAATATATATATATGTTCCAGAACTCAGACTCTCCCCTCCTGCTCCACTTTTTTCTCTCTAACCCTGAATGTAGAGAGGTGACTTTTGTAAGTTTCTTGTTTCTTTAGAAAACATCTTAAGGGAATGTAAGAGGCATGCATTTTTACTTTCAAATAAAAGGTAAAAGAGAATACAAATATCCCTGTTTCCTTGTAATCCCGATTCTAAGTGGATTTAATGGCCCTGTTAGTGCTGAGCAAAATTAAGTCCTTATGAAACATGTTACAAAGTACCTTTGTAGATCTCATTTTTTCAATAAAAAGGGGGTTTAGGTCATGTTGAACAATCTGCTACTTATTAGCACTTTGCCTTCAATAGGTCACCTTTCATAGTATAATACTCTGTTTTCATTAAGAACTAAATCCAAAAAGGCTATATTTTTAGAACTCAAACAAAATATATAACTTATATTGTAAACACAAAGATGAAGAAACACAAAATATTTAACTACAAAACTCTTATACAAATCTGTCACATCCAATACTTTGCTTTTCTCTAAATGCTGTGATCATTATGAGAACAGCTTGTATTTTTTAGATGTGAAATGTTAGGTGTAGCATTTGTTGTGCAGCCAGGAAAGGAAAAAAAAAATTATTATTTTTTTTAAGCAATAAACAAAAATAAGGATAAATTGCAGACTTTGACGTATTCAATCTGTTCTACATCTCAGAATCATGCACACCAGAGATATTAATGTAAAGGTAATGTAAAATTTAGTCTACCTATATTTTTAATAGATGAAAATATGCTAGATATGTTATATATTTATATTTTTTAATTTCTTTATGAATCCATTTTGTTTAAGTTTTGCCTGAGGAATATTTTTAAGATTAAAAAAATCTCCCCTCATTTTTTTATATATATAAATAGTAGTTACTTTGAGACATAAAACACCAAGACTGTGCTCACATTTCTTAAGGCTGTTCCAACATATAGATATGTTATTTTTTGCTGATATTTGCATCTGAATGCCTAAATGGTCCAAATTCTTCCTGAAGATACATTATACGGAGAAGAAGGAACATGTAAGAAGAAACCACGTCCTTTTTCATCTTTTGCAAAATTGAGATAATACATGTATTTCTACCCTTCTACCTTAGAAAGTTCTCTATTCCTTTAGGAGCACTATATTATTTGCTTTGACCAAGCAATGCTCCCAACTGATGAGTAATGTGCAGGTGGTTGGATTTTCATGGGATACATTAATGTAGACTTGTTCACTGTTGACTAAAAGAAGTAACAGTAGATGGTGAGATCAATAGTATCTGCCAGAAGACAGGAAAACTGTAATTCTCTGCAGCACTCTTGTAAATTGTGCCCAGAAGCAGAAATCAGTATTACCTTCAGTCCTCTCTGCTAAACACAAAGTTATTATTATTCTTTTATTATTATTTCAATGGTGGACAGAGGGCAAATTTATTATTATTTTTTTTTAACTTTAATTTTAATGTATTTATTTATTTTTTATTTTACACTAAGATAAAGTTTTGGGAGCAGATACATTGTCTCCCCTGTTAGAACCCTAACCACAAAGTAACAGTCCCCCACATCCCTTTATTTGCTTTCAGCCTCAAGTTATCTTCAACACTTTTCTGAATAGAATACATGGAAAATACTGCCATTCAAAAGGTCCTAGTGACAGGTTGGAGGTCTCTGCTATGGAAACCCTTCAGACATACCAGAGTCTGGTTTATGGTTTTAGAGACCAGCAGCCTCCTGTGAGACCAAACACGGGGAGATGTCCTCAGTTCTCTGCATCCCAGGACAGGATCACAGGCACTGAGTGAATAGGATAATATTGCTAAACCACAGCAAGGGAGGAGATGTCAGTGAGTTCCTGCAGCAGTGCCTAGGGACCAGGGCAGGCTGAAGAAGGTGTCTATAGATAGGTCCTCCTTCAGACCATTGCTGGATTTAACCTGGAACGTAATTGTTCCACCCTCCTCAGAACCCCTCCTGCACCTGCTTCTGTGTGAGCCTTTCTGTCTGGAACAGGGAGGTGAAGCGCACATGAAGTCAGATGAAGCTTATCCCAATGCCAAGCACATAGGCATCATTTCTTCCTTGTAGAGGGCTACTCCCTGGAAGCACATCTCTCCCCTCATCTTGGCAGTACGTTTTGTCTCTCTCATGCCTGTCTCTCTCTTGCACCCTGCTCATTCTGTGGTTAAACAGGCAATGACTAAACATCATAAATCTCATGTGGTTCAAACCTTTTAGAACCACAGAGCTCAAAAATTGTAACTGACAATGTTAGAGTTGGAAGATCACTTGGAAATCAGTCTTAGGGCTCAGACTAGAACTGAGTACCATACTTTATTTTGCCCTTTCCTCTCCCCTTTCCATTTTAACATTCTTCCCCTTAACATTCTATTTCTTACCTTGTTTTGCTAACAATTTACACATGACATATCAAAAAAGTTATGAAAGTTAAGATTAAACAGAGCTATCAACTCTCTCTTGCTTAAGGAGCTAGTACCCTTAGAAGAGGGAGATAACTGCTTGGAGTGATCTACCATTGCTCATTTTATCCTATCCTTTATTTACTTTTCTAGGTTACTTGTTCTTTTCAAATGTGCTAAAGCAACTACTCCATTTTAGTCAGCAGTTCATTGATTAAAATCTAACTAATTTTGGGAAAAAACAAAACAAAACAAAAAACAGGTATTTAAGGTAATTTCAAATGCTGTCTTCTATTTAAATCACCATTTTTTCCTATGACAGCATTTAAAGAAAGGACAATATTTACACACAAATAGTATAAATAATGTACAAGTTTGAGCACCATATTAATGTTTGAGTGACAAACAAGTAGCTGATTTATGTGAGAGACATCTTTGTGAAGAAGCAAACTTTTAATTCTGTGTTTCCATTCTCAGCAGATTGGAAATGATTCCTCATCACACTGTGAATTTTAACTGGTGTATACATCCTTGTAAGTGATAATCATACACATTTGGGAAATTACTTCCATAAATGTTATTATTCCATTTGAGAATCCAATGTTTTAAGTATCATGTTCAGCACATATTGGAAAGAAGCTTGTGGTTAATATATGGAAAGATCATTTGTATTTAATCATGCAGTTGGGAGTAGTTATAGTAACTAAGTAGATGCAGGCAGTTTAAAATGCACAGATTGTTACTGCAGCTAGCTTGCCATGGGCACTTTTTCCCTTTGATAGCTTGAGTACCGAATAAATAAAGTAAAATCAATGCTCAGAACTGGTCAAAAAAGCTGTGCCATGCAGGTTAACATGTCAGTCCTGCTAAACAAGGACATACGGCTGCACTGCCACTGCATAAAGACACAGGGCATACAAGCAGACTTCATACTGGCTTTTGTACATCATTGATGTTTTCTCAAGGATACAGCAGCAATTTCACCAGGCTTAACTAGGCTCCCCTTTGTACCTGGGTATTTTTACCTGCAGAAGAAAACTGGGCTAAGGCATTCACTGTATCTTCAGGAAAGCAAGCATCTGTATGGTGCCAGCTGCATGCGCAGAATCAGAGGTGTGCCACAGTGGCTCCTCACCAGTCAATTTCTGTTCGACATCTTTCTGCTCAAGCAGTGTGTAAGCCCGTGTTTGACAGATATTGGAAAACAAACATCTGCTTTTCTAGTAATCATTCAGGGACTAAGTTTAAAGAACAAATTAAATTAATCTAGATCCTGAAACACTTTCATAAATGTATGAATCTACAGGCTTGTATGCAACAATGGTCAAAACATGAAATTACAGATCTATTTGTTTTATTTTATTTTATTTTAGTTACAACAAAATTGCCAGCTTAAGGATGTTGGGGTTATCTTAATACTCCTTCTTATTAAATGTTATAAGAAATATATGCAGTTATGTGTATGTACTGTGTGTATATTCTAATAAGTTTGTACATGCAAGGAAGCCCAAAGAGGGAAAAGCAAGTGATTCTGTGTGTTTGTCTAAATACAGTCTGTTGCAAGGCACTTAAATACTGTGGAAATGGCCCTTAGAGAAAAAGTAAAGCTAGAGAAATAGATCTATATCTGTACTAAATCATGACTAGTTTTTCAAGATTTACTTATTCAAGTTTTCTATAAAACAATAAAACACACCCACGCCCATATAATATGGCAGAATTGTTGATACAATTTTGCTGCCTCCTACATTAGTGTTACACATGATATTTGTTTTTTCTTCACTCCTTTTCCAATGAATAAATGAACTGCTTATGTGGAGTTCAGTAGCATAACTGTACAAAATTAGTTACAAAGAGAAATGTCAGGACTGATATTCCTGACACAGCCTTTTTAACTTTTGTTATATCTTAGGTGTGCGTAGCTGAGATGGAATAATGCAGCAGTCCAAGATCCCAGGAGGCTCCTGCTACCATTGTCTTTTAGGTTTTTAGCCTGTGGCCTGGATTGAAATAAGAGCTTCAATTGGGAAATTGAGAGTATGCATACTCATTC